GTTTGCATAGCACCAAACTTGAATCATATCAGCTTCCGTTTCTGGCGCGCGCTCTGGATAAAGGCTGTCACAAGCTGACTTCGTTGTCTATAATTCACTGCACTATTCGCGATGCTGGGATTAAGGAATTTTTGAGTACATGCAATAAGGAATCCTTCGGTACACTGGAAGTGCTCGATCTAACGGATAATAGAATCAGTGAGTGTCACAGTTTAAGCTGCTCTCTCTTGTATTCTTCTAATTGCCTTCTTTTCAGCCTCCGAGGGCGCTTACGTACTTGGCCGCACCATTAAAGGCCTTTCGTTGCGCAAGCTAGTGCTACGCCTGAATCCAATTGAGAGTGATGGTGTTGCTGCAATATTCTCGCTCTTGCAACGCATGCCAGTGGAAGCGCTCGACATTAGCGGCTGTTCCGTATGTCCGTCGATAACAAAACTATTCATGCAATTGCTTATTCAAAATAAGTCACTTGTGAACATCGATATTTCAAATAACGAATTAGGCGAGGTAAACTCGGGATCTGGTAAACTTCTGTAATACCTTATTAAATATTTTTTCTTTCAGGAATTCGGCAAGCAACTACATAAAATTATTGGTTTCAATAAAGTTCTACAGCATTTGGATTTGCGCAACACTGGCATGAGTTTGGAATTGCGTACCAAAATAAAAGAGGTTCTCAAAAGTAATAGACCGAAGCCAAAAACATATCTGAAGGCAATATTAAAAAAATAAGAAAAATAAATTATATTTTTAACTAAGTATTTTTTTATTATTTGCTTAAAAGCGTGGGGAGATAGTAAATATAAGAATTTAGAAGACGAACTAATGCTAGTTAAATAATTGGGTTTAGCACAAGGGTAACACAAGGAAGTTAATCGGTTGTGACCAGTTGGAAATCTCTGATATCAGTTGCACTCGTATTCAATAATATAATATACATTCCGTCGAAAGATAACCAAAGAGCATGGCCCTTCTAAGGACACGGACACAATGAGCGGCTGAAAGTCAGTTGGATATTGGGGCAGGCATTTATGGTCCCAGGATGAGGCTATCTGTGCCCGTAAGCAAATACCCGAGTATTTTCAAAGCAGAAGTATATGCCATCAATCGGTGTGCAGAGATTAACTTACTTAGAGCCTATCGTAACGAGAGAATCCTAATGCTGGGCAACAGCCAGGCTGAACTTAAGGCAAAATTCAATAACATTTCGATACTGTGGGTGCCAAGTCACAAGGGTATACGGGGGATTGATTTATAGGGTGTCTTAGCCAGAACAGCGGCGGCCTTGCCTCCGATAGGTTCCTTGCTATAAGCCTAAACACTATTAGCGAAGAGCTTATAATCTCAAAATATATAAACTTCTAATTATGTGCCCTCTGTGCACGAATACCAACGAGTTTTCTCTGTAGAAAGCGCCGAAATATGATTGAAGAGTAATCCATTGACCAATTTCTCTATCGACCTCTAGGCCTGCAAATCTAAGCGAATCATACAACTTGGGTTACGCTTCTTTACAAGTCTGGAAGAGGTAGCGAGATTCTGGTAACTGCTCTGTTTCGTTTGGGTTATCAAGTGGCTTAGTCGGTTAATGTCGTGACTATTTCTTCTTTGCTTCGACTGAAAGTATAAAGATCTGCAAAATCGCGTCCTAGCCGAGCTAGCCTAATTTAGCCAAACCTTTCAAATGATGGCCGACCAAAGCGACCCTAATTTTTAGCATGAATATTTCCGACATGAAAACGAATCTTTAATGCATGAGCAAATGAAGCTATTTCATAAATGTCTTGATCTGTTATATCCTTCTCGATTGTAATTTTGTTGCCAAATGGAATTGTACCATGGTGTACTAAATAGCTATTAAATACGTAGGCAGTGGGTGGCTTTGGATAAAATTTCCCAACTGATTACTTTCTTATCTTGGACTTTCTTTGTCATTGAAATACAACTTTAGATAAATACTCCAACTGGCAAATCCACCGGACTTAAGATAAACACTTCAGAGAAAGAGATAATATTACTATATATGAACCAATATGAATTATCTACATGAAAACCTGTCTTAAACTAATTTAAAAGTAGACACCACACTCCTCCAATTAGTATATGTTACATACAAAACCGTGTGACCTGGCCTCAAAAGCACACCTCTCCCACCCTTTTTAATAAAATTTGCGAAAAAAAAGAAATAATCCCATTAAGATAACGGCCAAAGTGTATGCACTCTTTAATCTCAAAAATCACTACAACATTTTTTTTTACACTGCCCAAAAACCATATTTGACGTTCTTGGCGCCAGCTTTTTTCTAATTAGATTCCACAACACTTTTAACCCTCTTAAAGCCATTAACAAAGAAAAACACCTTTTCCCTACTCTTACTCGAAGGTCTTAGCTGGAAAAAGGAGAAAAATGTTTACAAAAACAACATCTAAAAATAAAAGTACAAAAGTAAAACAATAACAAATTTTCAAATAACAACAACAAAAAGAGTGCTAAGAATAACAAAACATCAGCAACTTTTCGTTGAAGTGGACACCCACTTTCACTTAACAGAGCTACTTAATGTGTTTAGGCACTGTGTGTCCGTTTGCTGGGGGGTGGTGATGCTGGCATTTAAGAACTACCATTAAAAAGGATACAATACATACATACATATTTGAGGGAACGCACAAGTATAGGATATGCGTTGGAAAAGGTAACCGTAGGGTGCAGAAAAAAAAACGAAATGTTGAAAAAAGTTAAGTGCACCCAAGTCAGCAGCTAAAACAAATCGACGCTACAAACGCATCTAACAAAATGTTGTTTTTGCTTCTTTCTTCTTTTTCGTCTTTCGCATAATGGTTGTTATACAAATTGCTGTAGGGATCTGAACTTTGGTCATCAGTTTTAATTGTTGTTGCAGCGCAAAGTTTTAGAGGAAAAGGTGGGTAAAATTTGCAGATTAGATTTGAGTTTTAAATTTGTGGATATTTGATGATAGGAAATTAAGCGGGAATGATATTAATTTTTGTTGCTGTTTTTTTCCTCAGAATAAGCTTCGTCAAAGTTGACAAATGCGCACTTACATACATACTTAAGTGCATATATGCCTTAAATTAGTAAATATTTGATTTGATTTTTATAGTTTTATTAAGAACAAAGATCACCACAAGTTGTAGGGTGTTGAAGATTAACTTCTCCTTCAAGATTTTAAAGACATCAATGACGGACAAGGAATCCAGCAGAATTTTTCAAATTAACTTTTTAGGTACCTAAAGTGTCAAATATTGAAAAGTTCTTTCATTCTTTTTTCAAACCCAAAAACCCTAAAATAAGTGTAGCAAAATGCAAAAGAGCTTTTTTGAGATTAGAAAGAAAACTGTGAAATTTGTTGTATCTTTGCTTCGGAGTCTGACTCAGTCGCTCATAAGACCATGCTCTTCTTGGTACTACAGGTTTTGGCAAACTTAGTCATGGAGCGGTACTCAGTTGAAGAACACATAAAAGGGATCCAACATAAATAATAATATTTCATAGATATCCATATTTTTCTAGTGAAAATTCGGAATAAAATATCGCGCGATTATTATTTCACATTTTCAGCAGTCTGCCAGCACCAATTTTGATGTTATTTCGATGTCTTGTTCATTCTTTATATATATGAAGCATAACAATAAATTACAAAAAAACTGTAGAGTTGCTGGAAAAATGGGTGGTATTTTTGAAATCACCCTACGTGGTTTCAACAGAATGGTGAAACTTGCCACACAGCGCATGAAACAATGGCCCTATTGCGAACATTTGCGGTCTTATTGAATCCCCCAATATTTAAGTAAAATCCTAAATTGTAAACATTTATGACAGTGTCATGTTGAACTAAGGGCATCCAAAGTTTTAACATCGTGCTGGCAAAGTAAACTGGTCTTTGATAAGACATTGGGTCTGTCACCCAGAGAAATCCTATAGGAATTCACCTCTGTGATAAGATCAATTATCAGCTATGCTGCCGTGGTGTGCTGGATCAGACTCTCAATCAAATGCTTGAAATACAATACCGGCGTACGGCAAACTTCGCCGAATTGGGCGATGCTGTCGTTCACCGTTCGCCCAGCTATTTCGCCTACGTAAACAGAATTAGAGCGGTAGCGAAAACAATAACAATGCAACAAAGTAGAACCCCGCTAATGTCTTTGCTAAATACCCAAGAGCTAAATAAAGATGATATTTGTAGATGTAGCATTTGACCCCCATTTGGGGCGTAGATTGGAACTTACGCCAGAAAAAAATAGTCAACTTCAAAAGATCGGAAAACGTATTCCTCAGTGATCAACAGTGAAGCGGCTAAGAACACAAGCAGCGACAACAAATCGCAAAAAACTATTTTGGTATTAAAGGAGACAGCGGAAACATTAGTTCAACGTCCGGGTTTTACAAACGAAGTTGCTACCGACTGTTTGCAAAAGAAAATGATCGCATTAGGAAGAGCTGTTGATGAACTTTTGGAATTTTTATAAAGAATGGATAAACCTCAAAACTGTTGAGGCACAACCGAGTGGCTCAAAGCCGCCTTCAAGAAGATGAAGATAAACTCTAGTACGGGCATTCAAAAAGAAGGTCCTTCGTAGAACAATACTTCAAAACCAAGCGAAAAGAGTACATGATTGTGCTAGGTGTGATCCCATGGGAGGGGTCAGGCCCTAAAGAAATTATCAGTGTAACATGCGGCGTTGAAAAACATGCGAGCGGGTTACGGTGGAAGAAAATCTGCTTTAACAGTCTTATCTGTAAATGATGATAAAGCTGTACTCAGTACAAAACGACTTCGCATAGAATGGGTATCGTGTCGAGTTAGAGAGTTCCAACATGAAAGACGCAATTTTTAATGCTCAAAAATGTGCAGAGCCGTGGACCGTTCTGCGTTCTGCAGAGAGTGTATCTAATCAAAGCGAGCCCATGAAAATATTACAATTGAACCTAGATCAATGCAAACCGGCACAAGACCTGCCAAACCAGAATTTCTATGAATGCGACTATGCGATTGCACTGTTACTCGAACAATATAAGAATCGCGAAGGGCAACGGGAAAGTTGGCTAGAGGTTCTCAGATCAGATACTCCTTGGTCTGCGACTAATTTTAGCATTTCCATATTCGGCAATCGTAGGCAACGTCGAATGCGGGCTTAAGGCATCGAGGAGCTTCCGTTGGACAAAACTTATGTCGCCCTCAGTCACAGAAAGTCTAGCTAAGTGTTTGTTTTCATTGTGCAGATAGCAATACACAACAACTGGCGAGAATTTTCGACTAGTAAGTTGCTTCCCTTGCCCTTCATCCATAGGGTGTGTTAGCTGAGTGGATTTAACAGAGCAAATGAAGAGGTGCCAATCGTGTGAGTTGCCTTCATAAGCCGTACATGTGTTGAGAATGTCGGGGTCGCGTCAGAATAGGAAGAAAGGTCTGCTACCTTATCCAGATCTTAGTTGTGCTAGAATTAGGCGAGTCTGAAGCTCTTCATTTGCCATCGGTGGCGGTTTAACACTGATAAATTACGGCGTGCCTCGGGTGAGAATTTGTGAAGAATGGGGTGATTTCGTTTATGGCTTCTCGGTATCGGGACCAGTGGATATTCTGGGCCATGCTCCTTGTAATATTTTCTTAAACTTTACTAATAAAATAGATTTTGTAAATAAAAATGATC